CAGTCCCCTCACTTCCTCAGTCTCCCAAGTCCTTACTCTTGCCGTGACTCAGACCTGGAGAAACCCTGATTCATCTGAGGGTTCTTCGGTCTTGGCTTTGGTCCTGTGTGCTGGGTGCAGAGCGGTCTGATCTGAAGGGGGGTGGAGGGGAGAAAGGAAGGAGGCTGGGATAGGGACAGGTAATCTTCCAACGGGAGCCACGACTCTCTCCTAACAAAAGGGGGACAGTCCCCTTTTGTCTGGGGCTCTTGAGGGGCGTGTCTGGGCTGGCGGCCACCCCTAGTGGCCTTGGAGCAGCAGGAGGAGTTGTCGGGGGCTGTGCTTGAAGTGTTTCTAATGGAACCTGAGCAACTCTAAGGGGAGAGTGATCTTCTCCCCTTCCCAGGCATTCTGAATACCCCGCGCGGTTCTTTCAGAACGGCCGCCCTGCGGGGAGTAGGATCAGAGAGAATGCTGCCTAAGGATCCTCTGCCTACCCCTTCAAGGTTATGGCCACTAGCTACAGAGGGACGGTTGACAATTGTCCTTGGCCCCCGCTTCCCCCCCCCCCCCCCCCCCCGCGCAAAACAGGGAGGGGGCCTGTTGCTCCAGTGCAGGGCTCTGCAAATGGGCCCTGAGGATCCTTGGAGATGCCCCTCCTCAGCCACTGCTCTGTCAGATCTCTTTGTCAGTTCACTAACCTTTGATCCCTCCTTCCCATGGAATGAATCCTGCACCCCATCCTGTTTCCCAGATTTCCACGGATCCTTCCATGGGCATCTCCCAGCTGTGGGAATGTGTTCTCCCCCTTCCCTTGCCCAACCTGATCCAGCTGTACCTCCAGATTCTGATTCAACCCATGTGAAGCACATCTCTTTTACCTAGCACCGTGGTCTGTGGAAAGGAACATGCCAGGATTCACCAGGAGACTCATGCTGGCCATTTTCTGTTCAATGTCTGATATTTAGCATAATCAAAATACCAGAAAACACCCCCTGTGCCAAATACAAAAACTCACTTGCAGTTTTTATGGCCTCATCTTGACTTTAGAGAGTAAAATTGCTTTCTCAAGGTGGAGAGGCAGGGGCAGGGTTCCGTACCTTATGTTGCTGAGCTAATGTGCTTGGCTGATTGGACCAAAGCTGGTTATTAACAGGACATGAATTATTGAACAACACCTTAAGCGGCCTGTTCATGAGGGCACCTGCCTCTTGCACTGTTACCTCTGTTTATCTTGGGGTCAGTTGTGAGCTCCCTTCACTTGAGTCTGCCATTTAGGATGAGGGGTCCCAGGTGCCGGGTGGCACCTCTCCCATTGTTAGGCTTCAGTGCCAGCCCCGTACTGGATGTTTTGTTCTGGAACACCCCAGGTGCTCTTCCAGGAACCTTTCTGATGAACATAAAGGCCACTGAGTGCAGGGTTTCAGATCGGGAAGAAAGGGGCACGAGTGAGCAGTGACCTTTTTTCCTTTGCCAGCTGAGGGTTGAGCTTGGGGAGAGGGAAGCTGTAGGGATGGCTGGAGCTGAGCAGGTCAGATCACTCCCTGTCTGCGTGGACGCCCTTCTCATCTGCTTTCCCTTCCTTCATAACAGTCTCCTTCTTACTGTGTTTCTAAGGCCTAAGGCATGGCTGCCCTCACTGGAGAGATCCCCCAAGGAGGGGGGCTCCACCTCCCACCACTTCTCACCCTCCTGGCCTGATGGGGGAAGGCCTGGAGTTGGGGACCAGGAGCAGGGGCCTGTCTGGTGGGTCTCTTCTCAGCGATTGGTTTCCCCAGGTGTTGGAGTTCCCTAATGGCGCCCTGTGCTTCCATCTCACCGTGTCCTCTCTTAGTTCCCTCCCTTTCATTCGGGTTTCCCGTACACTTTTGCATCTTATACTTTATTTTGGGTCCTTTCCTCTGAATTGATATGGGGACAGCTAAGAAAACTAACCTTCCACTAAGTAGAGAGGGTAAATTTGGAGAAAGCAAAGAATTCAACATTTGTGGGGGGTGGGCATCGGTAAGATGCCTCTGTTCAGAGGTACCGTCCATCTTCCTTTGTCGCTTCTCTCTGGGGCTGGCTGTTGTGTTTGTGGCTGCGTGTAGTGCTTGTCAGCGGAGTGCTGTGACAGGAGGCTATTTTAATAAACTGTTGCAGTTCCGCGAGCCGAGCTGCACTGCGTTGGCATCCCTCGTCACCACTAATGGAGCGTGCGTGGCTGGGTGTGGGCTGGGGAAGGGGGGAGGCGCAGGGTGCTGGCCCCTTGTCTGGGAGTGCTCCTGCCTTGGGAGCAGTCAGACCTGGGGGCCGAGGGGTGGCTGCGCCTGGGCACAGGGTCCTGCCCCAGAGGTGCCTCTGGCAGGGACACTTTCTGAGCTGTTTCTTTTCTGTTCATAGCACTGCCGGCTCGTGGCTCATGTGTGTGTATGTGTGTGTGTGTTGTATGTGTGTGTCCAGGGAGAGAAACTTCCAGTCGCCCCTGTGTGAGCCATAAATTAAAAAAAAAAAAAGAAAAGAAAAAGAACAGAACTAGAACCAGAAAAAGAGTGTGCGGGCCTGAGAGAAAGACTGAAACCAAAACAGAGAGAAGGCGCAGCTGCTTCCCCAAGGCCTTCTGGGGCTCCCGCCCGCCAGCCCGCCCGGAATCAGGCCTTTATTTATTTATTTTTCTGGCTTAAAAAAAAATTCTGTGTCTTCTTCAATCCCATTCCTCCCACCCCACCACCCCCAAATTTGCTGGATGGCTACTGCCAAATGGACCCGAGTGGGAGCCTGGAATGAAAAATTCATAACTGCTGGACTTTGCTTGTTCATTAGACGTGAACTTGTCGATTGGGCAAATTGTTTTTGGTCTCCAACTGCCGGGGGCTCTCCCCACCCTCCCGGCTCGCCCAGCTCCCTCCTCCCCTTGGACGCAGCCATTGGCTGCGCGCGGAGGTCTCTTTGCCAAATAGGTGGATCCTTTCTCTCTCTCTCTCTCTCTCTCTCTCTCTCTCTCTCTCTCTCTCTCTTCTCTCTCTCTCCCTCCCTCCCTCTCTCTCTCCCTCTCTCCCTCTCCCTCTCCCTCTTCCTCTCCCTCTCTCCCTCTCGTTCTCTCCCTCTCCCTCTCTTCTCCCCCCCTTTCCTGGCTTGGCACGAGCAAATGGATGGGGATTGAGCATGAAAGGGGAGAGAGAGAGGGAGTTTGAGAGAGAAAAGGAGCAACAAAACCCCCCAAACCCAGCCAGCGCTCGTGTACACACACACACACACACACACATGCACACTCACATACGCACACTCACACCCCCATCCCATCCGCGTCCTCCCTGGATCCTCGGTCTCTCCCCCTCCCTCCCCCTCATTCCCTCTCTCTCTTTTGCACGCGTCTGCCAGCCACAGTCTGCAGCCGGTCAGAACTCGTCCTCTTCCCCGGGAATCTGCGAGCTCCCCCTTCTCCTCCGATCGGGTGGAGGGAGGCAGCTCGAAGTTTACACCCCTGTGCTGCTGCCAAAGCCGAAAGCCTTTTTCTTCAGCTGCCGCTTTTTCTTCCCTCCTGGTTTTTGTTTTTGTTTTTGTTTTGCACGGGGGTGGGTAGGGTGCGTTGTTGTGTGTGGGTGGGGGGAGATGGAGGTTGGTTTTGATTTTTAAATTTTGCATATTTTTGTTTTCTTTTTTTTTAACTGAAAGAGTATGCACAGGGGGAGAAATTGAAAAACAAATTTTTTGTTGGCTTTTGTTTACCTGGTGTGTGTGGCAACCAGCTCGCTCCTTCTCTCCGCTTGCTATCCCTGACCTTTCTTTCTTTTTGCTCCTTTTCAAAAAAAAAATATTAATTTCCCCCTTCTGTGCAATGGAGTGTGGGGGGGCAGAGGGGGAAGGGTTTGAGAATCCACCCAAGCCCGGCCCCTATTCCCCAGAACACCAATAATAACCCCCTTTAAAACATTTACCTTCCTCCCCTGCTCCTCCCCCTCCCCCCTCCCCCCACCCGCCCCCAACTCACAACTCTGTTGAGTCCAGAATCTCAGAATCGGGCGTTGGGCTTTGCCGGGTGCTTCAGATCAATGGTAATTATTTAATTTTCTCCAGTTTTATTTTTGTAAGCAGAAATCAGTTATTATTTAAACTTCAAACAAGCAAAAAAAAAAAAAAAAAAGCAAAAGCTGAGAGCCCGGCCTTCTGTCACCTGACTGAGTGGAAAGAGGGTGAAGGGGTCGTGGGAGGCTGGGGAAGGGGCGGCAAGACGACCCATGCAGCTTTTAACCCTAATGTGGCTGAGACAACCACCTTATTTGTGTTAACAAGAAGTGTTTTGTGCATTATGACTGTGATTAACATTAGTATTGATGTCGATAACAAAGCTGAAATCACATATTTAGGATTTAGGTCTGATTTTAAAAATGCTGGGGTGGATGTTCCAACTGGATCAGGAGAAAAGAAAATGAAAACAGCCTGAGGAGAGGGAATCCAGAGCCGTTTCCTCGATCGCTAGTGGATGTCATTTGCTGTCTTCTTGGGGGCAGCCAAAAATCAGCCAGTGTTGGGACAGGCGGTGGTCCCGTGTGCCCCGCGTGCATCCACGGTCATCTCTGCAGACGGACACGGCGCTGGGGCGAGCTGACACGAGTTCCCGGCTGCTATAGAACATGGAATGTCATGGGCGCGACAGAGCTTGGCGGGGATACCAGCAGCGTGTGTGTGTGTGGACGGCAATGTTGTCTGTGCGCGTGTGAGGGAGAGAGAGAGAGAGGGAGAGCGAGAGGGAGAGAGAGAGAGAATAGGTGTGTGGACAGGCTCCCGGTGGCTCTGTCTGGCTGCTGAGGCTGAGATGGGAGCAAGTGGCTGGCGAAGCTGGTGGTGGCTTCAAACCACACTTTTGTAGAACAATCGCAAGAGAAAATTGTTGAGGGGGGAGGGAGGAGGAGGAGGAGGAGAAAGAGGCTTTCCTTGTACCCCCCTTCTAACGCCGCTTTTCTCCTTCTCTTTCCCCTCATCCCGTCTTCCCCTCCTCCCGTCCTCCCGCGCCCCGCATGCTCCCGGCTTGCCGCCTGCAGGATGAGTTCCACCCGTTCATCGAGGCGCTGCTGCCTCACGTCCGAGCCTTCTCCTACACCTGGTTCAACCTGCAGGCTCGGAAGCGCAAGTACTTCAAGAAGCACGAGAAGCGGATGTCGAAGGACGAGGAGCGGGCGGTGAAGGACGAGCTGCTGGGCGAGAAGCCCGAGATCAAGCAGAAGTGGGCATCCCGGCTGCTGGCCAAGCTGCGCAAAGACATCCGGCCTGAGTTCCGTGAGGACTTTGTGCTGACCATCACCGGCAAGAAGCCCCCCTGCTGCGTGCTCTCCAACCCCGACCAGAAGGGCAAGATCCGGCGGATTGACTGCCTGCGCCAGGCCGACAAGGTGTGGCGGCTGGACCTGGTCATGGTGATTTTGTTTAAGGGGATCCCCCTGGAAAGTACTGATGGGGAGCGGCTCTACAAGTCGCCCCAGTGCTCGAACCCCGGCCTGTGCGTCCAGCCACATCATATTGGCGTCACAATCAAAGAACTGGATCTTTATCTGGCTTACTTTGTCCACACTCCGGGTAGGTGGCTCTTAACCTTTCTACCCCTGTTTTATTTGCTAGCATTTATTCTGTTTATTGTTCCTCTTATTTCTAACCCGTACCAGGCCATAGGCCTAACTGCACACCTGTCCTGGGGGGCCTGTGTTTTGTCTGATGTGCCTTTCTGCCTCTTCTTCTCCTGTCTCCCTCTCTATCCTCTTCCTCTGCTCCCTTGCCTTTATACCCACTGTGTGCATTTTCATGTCTGGAGGACTCATCTGATCAGAAGGATACTGTGTGTCAGGCTGCCCCAGAATTATCCGTGATGGCGAGTTTGAGACAACAGCAGCACCACCAACAATCAGTATTTACTCTTATTTAAAATGAATCAGAAGAAGTATTAGGGGGTTAGGTGCTGGCTTTCCTGTGGCTTTATGTCAAGTTCCAGGAAAAGCTAGATTTGGCACAAGCGGGGTGGGCAGCAGTTCGGTGGAGAGAGGAGCATGTGAAATCCCTGCACATGAGACTGAACAAATAGAGAACAGGAGAGAAGGCAGCAGCGGGCAGATTCTGGGGCCCAGATGCCCAGGCGAGAGCTGTTTTGGCTGGGATTTGGCTATCAGAGAGCATGAGAGTAATTTGATTTTATAGAGAGAGTGGAAACAAGCAGGAGATTCCTTGAGCTCTGTCCCTCACCTGGTCTCTCTGCAGAAATGGGAAGGCCCCTGGGTGTGTGTGCTGCCCAGCCGGCCCAGGCTCCTGTGCTGGGGGTGGAGAGGCTTTCCTGAGGAGCAGGCCTGGCAGGGAGCTTCGTTGCTGTGGAAAAGGTCTTAAACAAACAAACAAACAAAACCTGTAAAATTTCCTTTCTTTTTGTGTTCCAAGTAGTTCCACTTCTCTTGGCTTTTCCAGTCTCACTCTGCATTTTGGGTTGGGCTGGTTTAGTTCTCCTCTTCTGATCCTTTTCATTTTTTCCCCCTTACCCTTTCCCTTTTTATAATTTCTTTCCGCTTTTGTTTTCTTACAAATTGAAACAGAGATGGCTGGTTAATTTTTAGCCTCCACTCAGCTACGCCCAATTTACTGCCGCCTTTGAAACCTAAACGGGCGGCACTCTGTGATTAAGCAAGGCAGAAGTGTGTTTACATTATGCCCAACCAACTTGTAATGAGAGGGCTACCGAGCCTCTCTCTCTGTATGTGTGTGTTTCTTTCCTCGCCACCATTCCAGTGTTCTTTCCCTCTCATTTCCCTTTTTCCTCTCTTTATGTGAGTGTGAGAATGTGACTTCACTTCAACTCTCCAAAATGTTCTTTCCTGTGAGTATGCGTCTCAGTGTTTTCCTTCCTGTTCATTCACAAAAAAGAAAAAGCCACTCACAACTGCTGTGGTCACCCCCTTGCCTCTTTGGGAAGTTGGGAGGATTGATATGACTGGATCCAGAAATAAATTGGGAGGGGGGTTGCTTTTGGAACATAATCTCTCCTGCCGAGAATGAGCGCTGAGAGTGTGTTGGAGAACTCTGGGTAGGAAAAGATGGCATTTGAGGTCTCTCTTACTCATTCTCTCTTGTTCTGAGAGGTGGCTTTGGTAGGCTGGCTGGAGGCTGTGGATGCCACCCTGAACCCTGACTGCTTCTGTGAATCTTTCTGGGCCTGCACCTGGCACTGTGTGACCATTAGGACCCCTTATACTGAAGGGCCAATTGCCAGTTCTTTCCTCTCTTCAGCTTGGATTTTTTTTCCTTTCATCTTTTTTCTTTTTGGAAAAGAGACTAAATGGGGAGGGTGTCTCTCATTCTCTGTCAGCATAGCAAGCCACAGTTGGGAGGGTGTGTGCCTGGTGATGTTAGAGGAGATGAGGGACGGCCAGCAGCGGCTGCTTGGAACCTGGAGCTTGCTAGTGTGTCCATCAGATAGCTCTTCCTCAAGAGGACTCTACACCTTCCAGTTTTAGAACTTGGATCCCAGGGGCATCTGCAAGGAAAATCAACACTCCACTTCTTCTCCTCTCCCCTGTGTCTGGACCCTTGTAGCAGAGTTGTTTCCCTGACCTCTTTCATTGTAGGCCCAGATCTTGACTGCTACCAGCATGGGGCTGAGGTAGGATGAAGTGTGTGTGTGAAGGAGACCATTTCCTGGCCAGCCTCCTGGCTCTGGACTGACCAGGCAGGTGTCAGGGGAAGTAACCCCCACCCCCGCCAGTGAGATCATTTGTCCAGGAATATGAGTGAATTCGTATTCCGTTGAGTGTAGCCAAGGCCACCTATGTCTGGGCTGAGGCTGAGTCTCCTCAGCAAATGCCCAATAGAGAACTAAGGATTTATTTTCTCTAATTCAGTCCACAGACTTCAGAGAATCTCAGTGAATAGGGTTTTTCTTGGAGGAATTGCTAATTGAGTATACCTTTGTGAAGAAAGTTTGAGTTGCTACTGCTGGGGCTACCAGTGAGCCTCATTGCTCACTCCCCCCTTGGAGTCCAGTTGGTAGTCTTGAGATGGCACGGAGCAGGTAGGCTTCCTCCCTGAGCTACCTGGGCTTGCTAGAAAATGTCTTCTCCCTGGCTGAGCCACCTGACGGTGTTGATTCCCTGGTACCACCTTCTCTAAGCCCATGCCCACCAGATACACTCCGTACAGCTGTCCCCTTCTTTCTTCTTCCCAGTATTATAGACTGAGGTCAAGGTCTGGAGCGACTGAGGTGCAGATGAGACTTGCTTCCAGATAAGAGTTGCTTTGGACTGTGAAATAAGTGTTTTTTTCTTCCCTTAAAACTGGATCTGGGGGGCTGGGGATGTGGCTCAAGCGGTAGCGCGCTCGCCTGGCATGCGTGCGGCCCGGGTTCGATCCTCAGCACCACATACAAACAAAGATGTTGTGTCCGCCGAAAACTAAAAAATAAACACTAAAAATTTCTCTCTCTCTCTCTCACTCACTCTTTAAAAAAAAAACAACAAAAAAACTGGATCTGGGGACTGGGGATATAGCTCAATTAGTAGGATGCTTGCCTCACATGCACAAGGCCCTGGGTTCAATCCCCAGCACCACACACACACACAAACAAAACAAAATTTAAAAAAACAAACAAACAAACACCCAACTGGATCTGGGAGCCGAATCTGGGCTGAGCTAGTGGTGTCGGGTTGATGACCGTCAACTTGACCTGGCGTTAAGTGTCGGGATTGGCATTACTCTCAGGTGCCGTCATCACCCATAGCCCTCATGGGCCCTTGTTATGCCCTGGAAGAAGCTTCAAGAGGTGACAGGTTGGGGGGCTGGGGTTGTGGCTCAGTGGTAGAGCACTTGCCTAGCAAGTGTGAGGCACTGGGTTCAATCCTCAGCACCACATAAAAATAAATAAATAAAATAAAGATACTGTGTCTATCTACAATGTATATATATATATATATATATATATATATATATATATATATGAAGAGGTGGTAGGTTGGGAGGGAGTAAAGCATATGTGTGTGTGGCATGGAGAGCCCCACTCCCAGAACACAGCATCTGAAGGCTCCGTAAGCCAGCCTTCCTGATGGAGAGAGGAGTTGACCTGTGTCTCTGTATTTTATGAGGGGTTGGCAGAAACCGCAGGGTCTAGGAACTCAATCAGTGAAATTAGCAAAATCTGTTGAGGCAGGGTAGGATCAGAGAGCCTTGCCATGGTAGGAGGATGTCTATTTCCTGATGATGTCCTTCCATCCAGAAGAGGTGTTCCAGAGCAGGAGGCCCAGCAAGGAAAGCAGGCAGTGGAGACCTTGTGTGAGGAAGGACGGCCAAGTGGACCCGGAAGCGAAGCTAGACTACCTCCAGAGCTTCTTTGGCTCTCCTAGGCCTCAGTCCTAGGAAACAAACAAAAATCCAGTAAAATGCTTGACCAAATGGAACTGTCCACCTACTCCGGTCAGCTCCCTCCAGTGGGCCCATAGGGGAAGCCCATAAAATCCATCCAGGTATTCTGGTGGTGGCTTTTTTCTTTATCCAAGCTCCTTCATGATGGAGGCTTTCACACTTTGAGGGAACCCCCCTGACACTCATCACCAGTGCCAACAGTCACCAAGTCAGGGCCAGTCTCAACTCATCCAACCCCCACTGCCTGCCAGCACTGGGCCATCTAGAAGAGAGTCCAGCATCCTAGTCTTTCCATCCACAAACATTTCTGTGCACATATCTAAAGATAAGGGCTCTGGAAAAACAGAACTAAATGCCACTATCACACCTGTGAAAAATCAAATTTCCTTCATCTCATCAGATACTTGGTTAATGTTCCCATTCCCCTACTTATCTTCTAGTTTTTGTATATAGTTTGTCTGAATTAGGATATAGATTGAATTGTGACAGTTAGTCCATCTGCCGTGGTGATGGTGGCAGTTGTCATTGTCATTGTCCTTGTGGTCGTGATCCTCCTTGGTCTTGTTTTCTTTTCTGGCAGTTTTGTAGTTGAAGGGACTACGTCATTTGTCCTGTAGAGTTTCCCTGTCTGGTCTCTGCAGGCTGTGCTGCCCTGGGTGGTTCAGTGTGTGGCTCTGAAAGGAAATTCTGCCTTCATCTGGGCTTCCAGGTCCTGAGACCACTGGGCTTGGGCTTACCTGTCTCGGGAAATGGGTTAGCATCTGTGGATTTGCTAAGTGACCTTTTTCAAGTGTGGGTTCACTCTCTTGGTGTTAGCTCTCTGCTCTAGGGCTTGGGGATTAGTAGTGAGCACTAGTTTTCAGGTCCAGTGGGGGGCTTCTCATCTACATCCTTCCCTAGTGGTAGAGGGTATTGTTTGGCAGTGTCCACCCTGCTAAGACAGTACCAGGATGCCCCACAAGCCTTTGGTGGACTGTCAGCCTCTCTGGCAGCCCTGGTGTGAGTGTGCAGGAGGGGCCGCAGGAGTGCAGGTGCATTCTCAGGGTCCACCGATACCCATCACCTCCTTTTTCAAGGCCCCAAAGTGCTGCTGGTCTCTCTTTGAGGCAGCGCCATCTGGTGCCAGGGTTGGCAAAGACCTCAGGGCCTAGGAACTCGGATCAGTGAAATTAGCAAAATCTGTGGAT